AAATAAGTAAAACTAGCTCTTGGGCACAGAGTATTGCCCCTAGCTGGTTCATCATGTTCACAGAAAAGTATGTGATGTGCTACTACACCCAGACGTTTGGCTGTGGTGCAAGGGGCTGGATCTCTCCGTCTGGGAGAACAGCACTCTCTGGAGCACATTAAGGGAAGAGCAGGAGAAAGGTGGGAAGCTCTGAATTCAGTAGGAAGAGCAGAACTATTCAAGTGTTTAAGCGACTACTGAAAAACTCCAGCTCCCCCAAAGGTCTTGATCACTTGCTTTACTGGCATTTCTACTCATCCTGTACAAGAAAAATGTCCAAGAGTTTTAGTTAAATAATTGTTTGCAGTTGATGTTGAGCTGAAGACTCTAAATTCTGCTTTCTGAGGAACAAAAGCCCATGGGATTGCTATGAAATGAAATTGCTCCCTGGAGGCATGAAAGTACTGCAGCACTTGCTCTGGATCATCCAAAGATTCCAAAAAATAAGAGCCTGTGCCTGACTCACCAGTGTCCACATATGATCTCAAGTAACTAGTGTTGGTCACAATAGCAAAGGAATCCAGCCAACTCAAGCAGAAAGAGCATCTTTTGCAAGAAAAAACTTTGGATGCAAAGTAGCTCCTAGGAGGTGGCAGGCTGGAGAGGAAGGTCGGCTTAGAAATTACAGTAACATGTCAAGATGCTGGAAACAGGCATCAGGTTCTCCCACCATCCCTATCCTCCCACAGATTGCCACTTTGGCTCCTCCTGCACACTGAAGGTGGAAGAGAAGCCATGGACAGATGTCTTCCTGCTGGAGTCCCTCTATCCAACATTAGCATGTAGCAGAGTAAATGATTTCTAAAAGAAAAGGTCTGAAGCTTCTCACACCATTTAATAGTCAGTCCATGTGAACTGCTCTACTGTAGGCTCTGTGAGGAAGGCATCCATCATGAACAGGCTAGAGTTTATCTGGCTTTCTTTGCTCAGGGCAAGTATGTGTTCTCAGGGTCAGAGCTGTCCTGCAGTGCCTCTTCCTGCTGGGTCTTGTACTGAGGTCCAAACCCTTGCAGTCCCAACGCAGCCCGGGGCTCGGCAAGCACAGCACCTCCTGAACTCTGTGGGAGTGGTGCCTGCTTGCTTCAAAGGCAAATTGTACCCGGAGTTTATACCAGCCTACAAGGCATGAAAAGGCCTAGGAGGTCAAATATCCACCACTGTAATTTCAGGCAGGATCAAACAGAAAAGCAACAGCTGGGCTGAGTGAGTAAGTCCACATTTAATTACAAATGGTTTCGGTAATAAGCAAAAGCAAGAACAAAGCCAGTGAAAAACCTCTCTTTTTCTCCCTGGCTCCTGTTCAGGCTGTGTAGAAACAGATGCCTAGAAGAGAATCTCAAATAAGATCCACCAACGACATTTTTAGCATTTTCAGGACTGCCACAGCACCACTGTTCCCCGGGCAAAGTCACTGTGTTTTGACAAGGACCGACGGGCAGATCGCAGCTGCTCCCACCGCAGGGCTGGGTCTGTGCAGGGCTCTCCCAGCCTGGAGCTCAACCCCTGTCAAGTCTCACAAGTACATGCACAGAGTCATTTTGCAGTAAGCTGCTTGGAGGATTTAATTTGCTTTAACATCCTCTGAATATGAAATGCTGCTGTAAAAGGGGATTGCTAGCTCAGAGATGGTGAACTCTGCTTAGAGGTCCTGCCTGGCTTGGGAAGAGGGCAAAAAACATCTCTTGGAATACCAGGAATTCCCACTGATCCCTCCATCAGATCAATGCATTTCATTTACAGTCAGGATCTATTCTTGCTTTTCCCAAAAGTGAAGCAGTGGTTAAGGATAGGAAATGAGCCCTAAAGCACACAGACAAGAAGGCTTAGCAGGGTGGATGGAGGGCTTTTTTTAGATGCTGGGAGCCTTCCCCCCATTTATTGGGGCAGCAAGTAAGAAGAAATCAGTGGGTCCCCTCGCCACATCTGATACCTCTGATAGCATCAGCAAGAGCCTAACAGAACCCAAGAGCACCACAAAAGCAACTGGAACACAGTATCACAACCCCAGAACCTCGCCAACAAACCAATACCCGCTGCTGACAGAACACTGCCTGGCTGTGTGTCACAGGGGGACACGATGGGAATAATGTGAAGGCTGGGAAACCATCACATCCCTGGGAACCAAGGGCTTCTGACCTTTCTAGCAAAGCCTGCTGAGAGAACTGGGTGGGTTGTTTTGTACTCCTGGCTTTAATTACAGCCAAGTGTTTAAGTTATTCTCCTCCAACCACCCCCATGTCCCTCACAAGCACAAATCTAGCTTTTTATAGCACATCCGGTATGGATGTTAAACACATCCAGGAAATGCACTTTCAGCCCCAAACATCCCCTCCCCTGGACCAGTTAGTTTGCAAGGGTTTGTAACACGGGGACGTGGAGCCGGATGTTTGGTTTTGTGACCGTTGCTTTTCTGGGTTACTTCTGTCTGTTTAGAGAAGGGAAATTCAATAAATGCAGGGTAGGCTGGCTGCATTCAGAAATAATACATGCTGCTTGCAAGGTGAAGAAAGAAAAGCCAGATGGAAAGGCCACTATTAGCTGCTCAAATTCCCTGCACACAGGGCAAGGCTTCTTTTTTTTTTTTTAATAGCTGACAAAGCTCCTGGGGGCTGACAATGGCTCACAGCACAGTGGGTGTCCACAGGCACAGCTAAGATCCCAAAATCACGTTTTTCACTGCCTTGTGGCAATAGACTGGGGCTCTCCCATAATGCATAAGGGAAAATGTACCCGCTCCCCCAAAACTTCTATTTTAAGTAGACAAAAGGTGCAAAGAACTGTCAGGCTATGCCAGGCTCTGTCAGTGCCCAAGCACTGCTCTGGCATGTCACCAAGGCTTGTGACTCTTTCCTCCAGAGCAGCAGGGTCTGGATAGCTTGGCTCAAGTCTAAAACCTGACCTTTGTAATTGGCTTAACATATGGGGCTTGCCTCTGGCTTTAAGGAATACCAAAAGCCCGCTAGTAATTTTCTCACCTGAAAATACCCTGGCTGGCTTCCCAGCTGGAAGCATCTTCCTAAGCCCAAAGGCAAGCATGTTTGCTGGCAGTCTCAGGGATCAGTCTTGGATACTAGTCAGACTCTCAGATCAGAGGGCCCATGCTGGCCAGACTGCCCTAGAGAACCTCCTAGTAAAGCCTCAACAGATTTGGGCTGTTCCACACACTGATCCAAACACCACTGCTGCTCCTCTGCTGTAGGATCCCTGCACAAAGCCAGGATGTGCTGCAGGAGGTTGTGAAAGGGAAGGCATTTGGGGCTGTGCTGCATTGGGGTTTGGTGCTCTGAAGAAAGGCAAGACATACAAGCCCAGGATATTTTTCCCCACCTTTTTCCACAGCCAGGTCACCTCATGTTCTGGCCAAGCAACTGTCAGTAGGACATCACACATCAGCAAGCTGCACAATGACCTAATTAAGTTGCTTCCAAAATAATCTCACGGAAGGAAAGTTAAGAGTCCTTGAACTCATTATTTCTTATACTGATTTTTAGTCTACTTTTTTCCATATCTGATGTGAATTCTTCAGAATTCTGCAACATGAACTCAAACTGAGCCTTGGCTATTACTGCTGAGCAATCCAAGCTCCAGCAAAAGCAACCATGCCCCTTGGTAATGACCAGGCTGTACAGGCCCACTGGCCACCCAGCTCCTCCTGTGGCCTGTAAGGCACAGGAGGAAACATGGATCTCTGCTGAACTGGAAGGTGAACTCTCCCTGGAGCTTTCCCAGTGGGCTGCCAAACCTGCCTGTACTCAGAGCAGCAGACTGGAAGGCAGGTTTGAAGACATGGGACCACCAGCAGCGTGCACAGTGTGGAGCTGCCCCAGCTTCAGCTGCTACTCGAACAAACTTCAGCCACCAAAACTGCACAAAGAATGCCAGCCCAACCCAAGGCAAGTTTTCCAGCACAAAACCCTGTACACAACACTTAGATTACAATTAATGGGCTCTGCAGGGATGAACCCTTGTGCAGTGTGAACAAGAGCATGAAGACCATGCTCATCTATGCCTTCATTCAGCTCAGAGAACAGCAGCTGTCAAGGGTCACGCACACACACACACTGTGCTTTCACTACCCTGAGCTAAGTACAAGCTATGCAACACTTAGCTGGAAAAATGAGTGACAATCCAGCTGCAGCAAGTGAATAACAGCATCTCAGGGAAAGGCAGCCTTAACTCACACTGGAGAATTGCTCTAAGCAGATGGGAAGGACAATGTATTTATTTGACGGGTATTGTTTCTGTGTGATCAAATCATATGCAGCTTATGTCTTTCAAATATAAACGCAAACAAATGACTTAAATAAAAATCATCACTGGAACACAGAAGCATCTCCTTTATTCCTAAGAAGCTGGTGATCTCCCAAGCTCATCAGGAACCAGACTGGCATCTCAGATGCACAGGGGACCCGACCTCCTTGTATCTTTGACAAGCATTATGATAATCTCAGAATTAGGTGTTAGAGCTTGAACAGAAAAGTGACAAATCCACATCAAAATTATATTAGAGAACATCAAAGAGGCAAAAACATCTCTCATTTAAATGCTCACCCGAAGTCTCTAAGAAGCTACAGCCCAGCCTGACATGGCTTTTTATAGCCCTGAGAAGCACCTGTCAAAAGAACTGCAGGCAATATCAGGAATGTTCCTTGGCTACCCGCAGTTTCATCAGGCTGCTTGAGACAGTCAAATCACTATTTCCTCACTAGGATGAATGATTTATGAGGATTAAAAAATTTGAGCCTGAACCTATGAAGTGAGTCACTGGAACTCACGGGCTGCCTCCCCCGCTTCCCTCCAGCCCCAGTCATCACACCTTCCAGGCCTAGTCTTGCTCCCACTGAAGGAAACAAACTGCAGGAAACAAACACCCATTGAATGCTGCAGAGCCTGCACTATTGGCTCCAGTGCCATCTTTCTCACTAAGGGCCCATACCCAGGCAGGGAAATCCCACACTCACCCCGAGACTGTTGGCAAGGAAGCTGGAGCTGCTGACTGCAGTTTCTCTTGCTGCTTCAGAAAAGATTTAGCTTCTTTTGAGTTTGAGTCTACTTCTTTAGTCACCCTGTTGGAGGAAAAGAGAAAAAACAGAGGGTAAGGAAAAGCTGTACTCAACAGTAAAATCAAAGATCCATCAAGAAAACACAGAAAACAGGTACAAGAGCCTCCACATCCCCTGCACAGAGATCACCTTCATCAGCTGCAAGCTGAAGAACACACATCTTGTTAAGATTTCATTCCAGTGACAAACCCTCTACATTCATGGCAGAAAAAAGAAAAAGAGTGGCTAATTAGAGCTGGGGGAGGAGGGGATGTTTTTTCTTTCCAACAAACTGGAATGCTATTCATTCAAACAGGCCTGTCTCACTAGCAGCTACTAAATGCTCTCCTCAGGTCACTGGGGGCAATTCCAGGCTCTTAATTGGACTCTTGATTTTCTCATTTGTTGGTCAGTGAGGCAGCTCTTCTGCCACCCATGTCTCACAGCCCACGGCACAGAGGCTTGGCAACATCTGCAACCCAAACCAGAGCAACGGGAGAGAAAGCTCTGACAAGGCAGAATGTAGAAATTTACTCTCATTTTCTAGTTAATTTTTGTTTGAAGCCTTGAGGGTGCAAAATATTGAACTTCAAAAAATTATAAATCAATATGGCATCTACAGCAGGGAATGAATTATAAACATGAGAAAGAATCTCTAGAAAACCACTCAATAATTAATTGTTAGAAAACCCCAGCTACTTTAGCCCCCTCATTCACCATGACCTGCCTCCAGCAACACGCTTTTCACGCTCGCAGTAGCTCTTAATGAGGTTGCCCTGATTTGCCAAGCTAACAATTTTGTTCCCATGGAGCACAAGCCTGTGAGCCTCTCCAGGGCCCTGCAGCACTATGGGCACAGAGGCAGCCTGACCCACAGCTCAGTCAGCACAGAAGAAACAATCCTCCATCTCACCCTCCTGCATCCTGGGCCTCTGGTTGTATCTGCCCCAGCAAGGATGTGCAGGCTCATCCCTGGTCTATGCCAAATGCTGATGAGAGGCTGAAAGCCAGGATCTCCCCTGGCTACAAATCAGGCTAATCACTGCTTCCTACCCACCAACCTGACCCCACAAGTTCCATGAAAGGACTGGCTAACAGTCACAGAGAAATCCCAGGAGCTGCAGCCCCAGGCTAATCACTGCTTCCTACCCACCAACCTGACCCCACAAGTTCCATGAAAGAACTGGCTAACAGTCACAGAGCCCAGGAGCTGCAGCCTCAGATAGGTTTCTGCTGGGCTGGCATCAAGGAAAGTGACACGGAGTTATCTGTTAACCCTGGAGCACTGATGTCCTGTAATCTCACTTGCACACAACTAGTGCATCCACGTCTCCATCCTGACAGTGAATCAGCACCTGAAACTTCCTTCCTCCTCCTCCACAGATTGCAAATGCTGTGGAAAAGGCACAAGAATAAATGCTTGTGCTGTACAACTGCTCAGCCTTGTTCTGCCAGTGCAGGAGGAGATTAACCCCATTTCCCCCCTGCACTGTCACATGCCTTTCAAACCACGGCAGTCATGTGGATAGAGACAATCCCACACTATGAATACCTAGAAGTGTTTGCTGATCAGATTGGGAAGGGAAGGGGTAGGAAAATGAGAAAAGCACTTCAACAACAAAATAAAACCCTGCTACAGCATCATCACAGTTCACCCCAAACACACCACCCAGTCACAGCCCTTGGCAGCAGTGGTCATGTCATGCAGCAGCCATACACCAAAGGTTACCCTGCATCCATGGAAATGATTTCATTAGACAGGATAAACTTGGTGTCTTCATGCAGCAACAAGACAGAATTTCCCCCAACCATGAGGCTGAGTTCAGATCAATGCAATCACACAGTCTATTTATTTTCAAATGCAGCATCTAAACAGCCAGCTCTGACCCCTATCAAGCTGAGAAGCAGCACTCTCTCTTATGCATTCTGCAGTACTGGCTCCTGGCAGGGTCCCTCTCCTCTTGTCAACCCCTGCACTGCTGTGCCATCAAGGGTGCACCCCTGGCATGCAGGAAGCACATGAGCCACAGAGAGAAACATCAGGCAACCTCGAGTGTGCAGGAGTCCAAGAGATGTAGCACAACAGTGAGCAAATCTTCAAAGCCAGTGCAAAGCTGAGATCTCAGCACTGGGCCCTTGGCCTTAAGCTCCTGTGTATCTTCAGCCTCCTCCAGCCTGGAGACAGAACTAACTGATGTCTCCCCTACCAGCTGAGGAAAAGAAAGGCACAAGGCTAAAATGAAAAACAGCTCTAGGGATTTGCACTCCAACAGAGTTAGCACACTCTTGGTTGGACCAGTACTACAAATCACAGCTCTTGGAACAGGAGATGCCCAATCCCAGAAAGGGTGAGAAAGCAGAAAGCACACGATGCACAGGCAGAGTCAGGCACAGGCCTTCAATGACAGACACTTCAGCTATCCAGGGGCAGGTTGCTACCAAGGGTTTACTTGTGCTTCAGTTCTCACACCCTCCTCCACCTCGGAGTACCAGTAACAATGGCTGGGCACAAAATACAACACTTAGTTCCCCCTTCTTTGCTCCCCTTGGCCTGCCAGCAGCTGCTCTAACATATATTTTTGGAGTTGTCCACTGCAGAAATTCAGCTGGAAAGCTGCATGCAACCTGTTCCACCAGGACTGCCCAGCTGGGGACAGAGGAATGCGACAGAAATGTAATTAAAAGTGACCTTTCAAGGCAATTCTATCACAAGACCCACTTAGTGCCTCATAAACTGAAACAAAAGCTGCTCTGAGGCAAGCTGCTCTGGGCTGATGCCAGCAGCAACTCCTGCACCACTCCAAGAGGAATGACGGAAGAGTATTAAGGAGCTTTACAAGGTATTAATTCAGGTTATGCACATTTCAACCTTTCCCAGATCCCAGGCCAGGAAGGAAAAAGAAATCCTCTGGTCTGCATTATTATGGGAGACAATAACTCTCTCCATGTAGAAACCAAAACAATTCTTGTTCTTCAAGGGGAGAAATGGGAGTCATTAATTCAGCTGGAAGAAATCACAGTCATTACTAAGGCAAATTACAAGACCTTTCACTTTTAAATACTTGATAAATAACTATTTGCCTGACTGTTTACTGGGATGCTATTCACACATTGTAATCCAGGACTAAACATGAAAATAAGTATATTGTCAGCAATAAAACAAGTAGCTAGTGTCTTGCCCACTTGCAGCCCTTGTAATTCAGACACAAAACCACTCACTCTCATCACTTTGCCACAGAGATTTCACTACACTGCTATGCTATTAAATTGCATAATAAGACTTCCAAAACACAGAACAGTTATTAATTTTTTGGACCATGCCAGAGCCTGGTAGCACAAATGATGCTACTGTCTTCCATATTTAGAAGTTATTATATGGAAGACATACTAGAAACTGGATCATTAAGTGTCCTGAATACTTACAGATGTCCTTCTTAAGACCCTTCATCTCTGAACCAAGCTCAAAACGGTAGCCAAACATTTAGGCATTGCCATACCCACCCAGCCTCCTGGTTTGGTGCCCAGTGCTGGGTATGTTAGCTCCCACTTCCACTGAAGAACTTATCACCCATCCTTTTACAGTTACTAACTGAAATGCTGCAACCTAAGTGCACAGAGAAGGCCCCAGGTGATGTATGCTGGGCACAAACCACATGAAGACAACACCTGCTGTCAAGGCTGCCCCAAAGGGCTTCCACAGAGCACTTACAGTTCTGAAATGTAGCAGATTAGTTTAAGAGCAAGTGGTTGATCTGCTCCCAGCAGTGCCCTTACCCACATAAACTGCTACAAAGAAGGAAGAATACATGCTGGAATGAGCATTATGCTGACAGCTCCAGCTAATCTGCAGAAGGGGATTAAACTCAGATTTTCATGCTTTAGTTCAGTGTCAGAATGAGTCTAATACACCAGCTTGTCTGCTGCACCCTGCTTTTACAGCCTGGTAGAGCTACCAGGGAGGAGGGTCCCAATCCATCACCCCACGGCACAACACAACACCCACAGCCCAGGGCTTGCCCCAGTGTGGTGCCCAGATGCCTCCACTCCAGCACAGCTGAATCCAGTCCTGCTGGATTCCAGAAACTGAACTTGTGTAAGGGATGCCAAGGCTGCAGTGTGTCAGCAAAGTGCCCAGCTCAGCAGTGAGCTGCAAGGTGCCCTGCCAGCCCTTGGAGAAGTGCACCAGCAGAGCTTCATCCTTGCACAGAGGGGAAATGGAGGCAGGATAAGGGCAAGCTGGGAAAAACAAACAGGCATATCAAGAAGGCTTGCAGGCTAATTATCTGTAGTCTGTTGTGTAATAGCAACCTTATGCATCCCAAGTGCCAAAATCCCTCCAATTTACCCCCAGGTGCCTCAACATAGCTACATTCTCCTAACCAAAACACCTGGTGCACATCAGGCCGAGAAAGCACACGTTGGTATTTGGGTGTAAAGGGACTCAGAGCAGAGAAGGCAGTTAAAACCTTTACTCACAGCAGCACAAAGGTACCCTCTCCCTGACCTTACTGCTGAGAAAGGGAGACCAAGAGTGGAAGCTGTGGAAAATGCCAGCTCCTTACCACTTGTACTCAGGACACTCTCTTCGCTTGGGAAAGCTGCCCCAGTTTAGACCTGACACAGTTACAAAACTTTCCACACTATCTTAATGTTAGCTCTGGGGAATCACAGACAAAGAGGGACAAAAATGAGGCTAATTATCCTTTTTCAATATTCCCCATCTGTGTTTAGGCTCAATAAATAGTCCACCAGTCTTCTGCAATGATCACTTAAGGAGAAAGTAATACTCATCTACAGGGGTTTGTTAAAAAAATTAATCCCTTTTGAGCTGAGGAATAATTTTTCTGAATTTTTTTGGTGGACTTTTGTGCTTGATCTGCAATGTCCCAGGTGCCTTTCACAGACAGACACACTGCATGAGAGGCAGATCCTCCAGCCTGCAAGGTCCTGAAAATGCTGGAGTGCACAGATTCAGCACTTTGCAGGAGGGAATTAAGTCCTCACACAAGTGAACCTCCAGACCA